AGTACTGGAGCTGTTGGCCACAGCTGCCCGCCTCCTGGCCAGCTTTGTGCTTGTCAGTCTCACTGGCCTGGCTTTGCTGGCTTGTGTGCTGGCAGTGACTGTGACTGTGTTGGACCCGGACCTCACACTGAGGCTGGCCACCCGAGCACTCAGTCAGCTCCATGCCCGGCCGTCCTATCACCGGCTCCGAGAGGATGTTGTTCAGCTGTCTTGCCTAACACTGGGATTAGAAGCCTGGCGCAGAGTCTGGAGTCGCAGCCTCCAGCTGGCAAGCTGGCCAAACCGAGGTGGGGCACCTGGGGCCCCCCAAGGTGGCCCTAGGAGGGTGTTCTTGGCCAGGGTCCCGGGACAAGACACTCTTCCTGAAGGAGTCCCCAGATCACAGGCAGAAGAGGAGGTGGTCAGGATCATCAGAGCAACACCTGCCCGGGGCCGGGAGAGGCTCAATGAGGAGGAGGCTACAGCTGGGCAAGACCCATGGAAGTCGCTGAAGGAGCAAGAGGAGTGGAAGAAGTGTGTCATCTGCCAGGACTAGAGCAAGACTGTGCTGCTCCTGCCCTGCCGACACCTGTGCCTGTGCCGGGCCTGCACTGAAATCCTCATGCGTCACCCCATCTACCACCGCAACTGCTGGCTCTGCCGCCGGGGCATCCTGCAGACTCTCAATGTCTACCTCTGAAGATGCTCTCCCTGCCCGCCACCCTCCATGCTCCACGCAGGCACCTGTGCTAGGACAGCATCAGCACCTCACCTCTGGTCCTGTCCTGAATCCCCTCTTGCCCCCATGGCTTCTTGCCAGGCCTCAAGCCATACATCCAGGACTTGTTGCATGTGGGACAGTCTGGAAGACTGCATCTAGGGGGGCAGGGTAACATAGTTCTCTGTTCCTGGTGGGTCCCTGTAATGCTGGGGGTGGTGAGCATGTCACTATGCAAGGGCCCTGATACTGTTGGCTGTCCTCTCCTCCGGCCAACCCAAGGCCCACCCAGAGGCCAGCCTCTGGGGCCGGCCCCTCTCTGCTTCTGGCTTTTCTGTTGGGGGTTTGTAGGTTCTTTCCCTGCCTCCTTCCCCCTCCTGCCCACTGCCTCAGCTTTTGCAGCCACAGCACATCAGTGTCATTTGGGTATTTTGGCAACTCATGGGCCTTGAAATGATCTTGAACCTCTGTGTTCAGCCAGAAGCCCTCGGCTCTCCTGGGTTTGAGGGTAGAATCTCTGAGGTGCCCGTAGAGCCACTTCTGCCTCTCATAATCTTAGAAGGCTCCCTCCCAATCTGATCAAAAAGCTGGGGTTGGGCATTTACCCCTGGTGGTGGAGGGCGCATCTCCACCTGGCTTTGGGACCATGTATTCTGGGGTGCCCAACCTCCACTGGGACCCTTAGGAGAGGTGATCAGATTTCTACTCCCCGCATCACATAAGACAGTGGCATTCCTTTCTTTGTCTCTCCCTGGCATTGGGCAGGGCATATTTCACTAGGGTCCAAGTAGAAGAATCCAGGGCCTAGGGGTACACAGCTCCCTGGGGGGTCCATCTGCCCATTTTCTGATGAATAAAGTTAGGTTGCCAGCTCTGAAAAAAAAAAAATGGGTATTTTCAAAGCAGCCATATCAGAATCCCTATCTATGTCTTTAGTCACAAAAAGGCAGCAGTTTGCTTGCAAAATTACTGAAAAGAAAAAATTCTATCACTACTAACAACTTCCCCACCCAAATAAGACAACTAGTCAAAACCTGGTATGTTTGAATTAGCTAAGGAAGACTTGTTAAGGGAACATGAAACATTCCTCATGACCCATTCCCTTACAACAAGTTGAAATCTGCACTCCAAAGTCAGGATTCACAGATGTCTAAGACTTGGCTCAGGGAAACCTACTGAGTGGCTAGAGGTGGTCACAATTTAGGACCTGCTAGAACAAATGAGTGAACAAACTTATAATCTAAATTATTGACCTGCATGGTTTTCTTGACCCAATTTGTTCCTTACATGTAGGCTCAATCTTTTCAGTATTCGGGTTACTGTTTCAGCAGAAGCCAGGAAAATAACTTTGTAGTAGTCAGAATGTTATCCTACTGTATATTGTTTACTTTATTGTAAATAATGGTGAGCAGGGGTCAATAAATAGTTTTATGTTCCAAAAAAAAAAGAAAGAAATGTAAAGTGGTAAGGCCACTTTGGCACTGTGTTAGAAAGTTACACACACACACACACACACACACACACACGCAAACCCTAAATTTAAACCTATGACTCACCATGTGATTCAGCATCCTTTCCTAGGCATTTGTCCAAGATAGCAAGAACTTATGTTTACAAAGCCTGAATATAATAATTTGAGCCAGCTTTATGCACTATAGCCATGAGACATTCAGTCAAGGTAGCATGATTCAGCAATAAAATGCACAGGAACAGCGACACCCCAGAGGCCTGAATGAATCTCAGAGGTGTGACATGAGAGAAAGCAAGACTCCCAAACACTGCACAATGAATGAGCATGATTCCATTTCCAGGACACTCTGAAAAGGATAAAACTCCTGAGAGAAAGCAGGTGGCCAGGGGCTAGAGGTGGCAGAGGAGCTGATCACATGGGTACAGGGGAAGTTACTAGGGTGAAGGAATTGCTCTCTATCTTGATTGTAATCATGGTTTTTGTCAACCTCATAATCCCTCCTACATTAAAAGGAATAAATTTTACTAAACATAAATCATACTTCAACTTTTTAAAAAGTTCACAAGAATATGTTGAATGAGATAGCAGAGTACTGGCTATATGATTGCATTTATATGAAATTCAGGAAGCAGCAAAAAGACAAGTGGAGTATAGCCTGGATAGTTTAGCTACTTAATGAGACCCTGCCACACAATAAAAAATTTAAAAAGCTGGATATAGCTCAGGGTGAAGGCCCTGGGTTCAATTCCTAGTATCACACAAAATTTTCTTCAATAAATTTACTATAACGTTTTTATAGATGGATAAAGATCCACAAGTAACGAAAAAATTTAAAGAAAAATTAGAAAGAAAGAAAAGACAAGAAGAAAGAGCCTGGAGGGTGTTCCTTTCCTTCCTAGAGTTATAAAGCCAGAGTAATAAAAAGTTGTGGCCTTGGCACTAGAACTGAGAAGTAGGCAATGGATGGCAGAGGACAGAGACCAGGAGGCAGAGCCAGGTGTACATGGGAATGTAACACTCATTAAATCAGATGGTGGTGTTGGAGAAGATATGGGGAAAAATAAAACTGGATTCTTACCTAAAGGCACACTCAGGAGGGCCTCTGGATAGAGTCATGCAGTAGATGTGAAATAAAGGCAGTGTGGGAGGATGTGGAGATCAGGGCTAAAGAAAGACCTAAAGGTTCAAAAGCCAGCACATCAGTACCAACCCCCACCTCCTGACAGAAAAAAAAAATTAAGAGCTTTGATTCATTTGATTATGCTAAAATTATCGAGTTTTTAAAAATGAAAGATATCTTGACCAAAGTTAAGAGGTATTTAACAGAAGAGAAAAAGGTGTTTGTCATGTCTAAAGCTAATAAAAGATTAATATCTAGAATAAATGAAGGTATTCTGCAAACCAACAGAAAGCAAGCTACAACTCCAAAGAAAATGACCCAAGGTCACTTCCTCCAGAAGAGGAAAACAAAATCCAATAAGCACAGGAAGAGATGAACCCTTAGTAATGAGAAATGGGGCCAGAGGCCTGGCCACAGCTGAGAGTGTGGCCTGGAGGGTGCGGAGCTTCTGGAGGGTCACTTGGTTCTGCTATGCAAATTGAGTGTCTACATACCTGGGATGCAGGCTTTCCAGACACCTGCAGAGTGGCCAGACAGTGACATGTGGGACTGAAGGAATTCAGAAATGAATGCATACGATTAAAAGGGGTCTCTGCCCAGACCAGCAATGCAATGGACTAGGGACTGAGGAGAATACTGACATACCTGCAGTCTCTCACATGCAGGCAGAAGGGGCGAGGACAGTGCTGTCGGGGGAGGGAAGGGGCAGACCCATAGAAATATCTCATGGTCCATGAGCACAGGGACACAGGTGGAGCTGGGACATGTTCCTGTACATCCCAGTGCAAACAGGGAGGCTAAGTTAATTTGAAATGATCAGAGTGGGAGAGGTAAGAGGAAGACAGAGACCCTAGCTAGGACAGCAGCAGGCATGGTGGCAGGGGAAGGGGGCACCTGTGGCCACTCTACCTCCTGCTTTAATAGTCCAGACTCAGGCCCCAACGTACACAGGAAAGACCCCCAAAAAGGCCTAGAAGGATTTGCAGGACAGCCAGAGAGCAGTCAGGGGAGTCTGGCTGCCCCTGGCAGGCCCTGGAGGACCCAGAGCAAGAGGTCTCTGTGTTGCTTGGTGAGATTTCCTCCCCATCTTGTGTGTGAGAGAGAAGGGCACATAAACCCATGAAAGTTCGAATACTTTTATATTCATGTGTGCTTGTGCATGACAGTGAGTTTGTGAAAGAGTTGTGTGACTATGTAGGACTGCATGTGTTTGGGAAGTGGGTGTTATTATCATTATTGGTACCGGAGATCAAACTCCGGACCTTGAGTTTTTGAGGCAGGTGGTGGAACCACTGAGCTAAATCCCTGGCCCCAGTGGGTGTTATTTTTGAAAGGGCTACAAAATTGCTGCAAGGACACAAAGTAACAGAAGGGACAGGTTCCCAATTTTTCAAAATATTAAAACTGCAGCAGTTTCTCTGCTTCATTTCTCTTTGCCTTTTGTAGCTTGTTATATATGGGACATTGAGCACTGGGGCAAGAAATTTCAGGCTGCTTTTGAAGTGCAGATTAAATGAGCAAATGAACCTCTTTTGGAAGAAAAAGAAAAAAAGAAATCAGTGCGGTTAGCTTAGGAGGGCACCAGGAGGAGGGAGGGAGGAGGCTGGTGGTAAGCAGGGGAATGAGGGAGACACAGACCCACAAGGCAGAACCTGGCCCAGGCACAATGAGGATGGCAGCTTGGCCCAGCCCTCCCAGGGCAGAACTTCACCTCCGCCCCCTTCACAATGCCTGCCCGTGCTGTGGCACCTGTGGCTGAGTCAGAGGTCCCACCCTGCGTCTCTATCGTGTCCCACCAGTTGGCAGAGGTGGACGGCAGCCTCCGCACCCTTGGGAATCCCCCCCACCCCACGGTGTCGCCGGGTCCAAAATGGCAGCTGCGGGTGAAACAGCGCCTAGCAGCTTCTCCCTCCACGTCTGCAAGGACGCTGGCCACTTGCCAGTAAGGATGCAAGTATCTATCGATGGCTTTTTTTAAAGTTTCCCCACCGCCAATCACTCTCTGTGTGGGATGAGGTGGGTGGAGGGGTGTCAAAGAGGAGAATCGAGAGGGGCTTTTATGACTTCTGAACTCCAGTCTGGAGTTTCTGCCTCTTTGGGACCCTGCCCCTCCCTTTATGGGCGTGTGCACTGGAGAGGCCCGGCACCCGAAGGCGGGTGCCCTCAAACTCTGAAGACTGGTGGGGGGTGGGGTGGGGTGGCGAGGGTAGCGGCAGGAGGAGGTGGCCCGCGCAATGACTCAGCTTTGGGGGCGGAGCGGGTGGGATTTTTTTTAAAGGACGTCGCAGGCGCCAGGCTTGCACCCGAGTTCCGCCGCCTACACCGAGGTCTACGCCACGGGCTGCAGAGTCCAGGCCGGCATCTACGCAGCAAACAGTGAGTCCAAGCCGCCTGTCCTCTGGGCTCCCGAGGGACTCGGAGCTGCCAGCACGGGGCAGGTCGCCTGCAGCTCCGGGACCAGGATCTTGGGAACCCAGGGTGGAGTTGGGGGGCCCGGGGGACCCAGAGCGTCCAGACCAGGGACCGGATCCTAAGGCACTGTGCCCAGATTCCGCTCTCCAGACTCTTAACAACCTTCTTCTGTTTCCTCTAGTGGCTCCCTACACCATTGTCTACTTCCCAGTTCGAGGTAGGAGCCTGTGCCTGGAGGGAGGGAGGGAGGCAAAGGCAGGGGCTGCTGTCCACTGTCCCCTATCCACCTGGGGGGACCCCAGCCCAGCCTCGACCCTCCTGCTTGTGACTACAGTCCCAGTCTCCTCCTTTACCGTCCTGGTCACCTGGTCATCAGGAGTCTTTGTTCCCATGTCCCCTTCCCTCACCATGTACCCCTCCCTGGGTTGCTGTGAGGCTGGGTCTCCACACACGGTCCCCACACCCCTGTCCTGTCCCTCACGCCGCCCAGGGCGCTGTGAGGCCATTCGCATGCTGCTGGCTGACCAGGGCCAGAGCTGGAAGGAGGAGGTGGTGACCATGGAGTCCTGGATGCAGGGCCAGCTCAGGGCTTCCTGTGTGAGTGACCACACCTTGGTCAGGCCTTGGGGGACTGGGACTGTGGTGGGGGCAGCCAGGCTTTTCCTCCTTCACGGAGCTAACACTCCCCTCCCCCCACAGCTGTATGGGCAGCTCCCCAAGTTCCAGGACGGAGACCTCACCCTGTACCAGTCTAATGCCATCCTGCGCCACCTGGGCCGTTCCCTTGGTGAGTCCTGAGGCTTTGGGCAGTTCAGGCAGGGGGTGGGGATCAGCCATGACCCTGAGCATCTGCCCTCCCAGCCTCACCCATTTCAGTCCAGTCCAGAGTAGAAGAAGCAGAGACACACAGGTTACCCTGCTCACCCATAGTGCAGGTCCAATCCTCTGCCTTTCCCTGTGCCAGGAGGCCTCTCAGGAACTGAGTTCCTGCTGTGGGTTAGGTTCCCCCTCCCACTCCTCCCCGGCTGTAGCCCTGAGATATCCACATGCCTGGGGAGTCGGGTGGATCAGATCAGGTGCTAGTCATGCTGTATGCTCCCCTGGCCCCCAGGGCTCTACGGGAAGGACCAGCGGGAAGCAGCCCTGGTGGACATGGTGAATGACGGTGTGGAGGACCTCCGCTGCAAATATGTTACCTTCATCTACACCAACTACGTGAGCCTGGGCACCTGAGAGAGGGGTTCTGTGGGTGAACAAAGAAAGGACCTCTTGTACCCTCACCTCCAGCCCTCCCATGGCTCCGGCTGAGCCCTTCCTTGGTTAGGGTGCTAGGGCTGGGGATCAGGCTCGTAAGTGACAAGATATTCCTCACTGGCTGGGTGTGAAGCAGCTAAGTAGCACGAATGATAGAATGCTGGGGCCAGAGACATCCAGCAACAGGTGGTTCCCCATGGCTGCCAGAGGAGAAGAATCTACCAGTTTCTGGAAGGAGGTGTTGGTTATTTCAGATGGGCAGAGGGTGCAGGTCTGCAGCTCACCTGGGGACCTGGGGCCGATTAGCAAGGGCAAAGTGTTTGTGTGCACAGGGGTGTGGATGTGGCTATGGAGATGGAATAGGAAGAAATGGGGAGGAGAGCAGCAGGCAAGGTCCTCAAGGTCTTGAACATTCTGGCGTGGATTCTCCTGAGGACAGTGAGGGCTACTGAGCAGGGCTGTGTCTGAACAGGAGGTCTGGAAGGATCTCAGAGGAGCCAGCTCTGAAGTTTTTTTAATAATCTGCTAGGAGATCCTAGCAGGGATGGAAAGGGGGAATGGGGTGGGACAGATTCAAGTGGGCAGGGCTTGGTAATGGGGTGGGTGTGGGGAGCATTCAGGGATCCTGGGGTCTCCAAGCTGGGCAACAGAAGGAGTGTGTCGTGCATAGGGCAGGGGCTCACGCTAAGAGGATAGGAGGATAATGCACACCCTTGGCATCCTTCCTGCAGGAGGCAGGCAAGAATGAATATGTGAAGGCACTGCCTGGGCATCTGAAACCTTTCGAGACTCTGCTGTCCAAGAACCAGGGGGGCAAGGCTTTCATTGTGGGTGACCAGGTGAGCCTGCCCCTCCCAGGTCCTCCCATGGCATCCTTTCCTCACAGATGGAAACAGATGGGAGCCATTCCTATGGCAAAGTAGGACAGACCTGAGGGGTGGGCTCAGCTACTCTGCCCCCCACTGCCCTCCCCTCCCCTGGCCTGCTCCCACTGACTAACACCTTGCCCTGCAGATCTCCTTCGCTGACTACAACCTGCTGGGGTTGCTGCTGAACCACCAGGTTCTGGCCCCTGGCTGCCTGGATGCTTTCCCCCTGCTCTCGGCCTATGTGGCACGCCTCAGTGCCAGGCCCAAACTCAAGGCCTTCCTGGCCTCCCCAGATCACGTGAACCGGCCCATCAATGGAAATGGCAAACAGTGAAGTCTCATGGGCCCTTGGAGGAGTCAGGGGTACTCACCTCCCTTTCCCCAGGACCAATAAACTTTCTAAGACCAAAGCTGGGCTGTGAGCACTGTTTCCTGGGGAGGGGGCTCTGGGACCCTCACATGATAGGCTGGGGAGAGAGGAGCAGAGCATGCACCCAGGGATACAGTGTCTTCCTAGAGCCCTTGGTGAGGTCTGGGTTTACTGAACTTCAGAAACAAGAAAGGGAGGGGCGAGAGGAGAAATACTCAAGGTCACTGCCCTGATCCAACAGCCTTAAGGGCCCCGCTACCTTTCAATACCATTATGTTGGCAATTAAATTTGAATATGAGTTTTGATGAAAAACCACATTTAAGCCATAATAGCTTCTTCTACAAGGAAATTTCATCCCTTGCTTTTAAGAAGAAAGAAGGACAGGGCCGGGGATTTAGCTCAGTGGTTTTGCCACCTGATGCGCAAGCGCAAGGACCCGAGTTTGATCCCTGGTACCAAAAAAAAGAAAAAAAGAAGGGCAGAATGATCTTCCATTTGCTGTTTTCCCAGTGTCTTTAACTCAAGACTGGCAGATTTTGGGGTGGGACATCCAGAACCCCTTCATTTTCCCCATTCAGAATTCCCCTACAAGTTTCACATGTTAAAAGTTGAGTTATCATGGGCCGGGGATTTAGGTCAGTGGCACAGTGCCTGCCACAAAGCACAAGGTCCTGAGTTCGATCCCCGGTACCAAAAAAAAAAAAAAAAAATTGAGTTATTGGGTGTGGAGAGAAGAAATAGTTTAGTAGCTGAGTAACTGCAAAGAGACAATAACATGGATTCGAATGAGAATGAAAGAACAGAAGAGAGAAAAATCTCAGCACATTTATAAGGGGAAATCCTTCAAAGTCACCCACAGGGATGTTCTCCCAGGCGACTGGAGAGCTCATCTTTGTGGAGTTTGGTGTGGCTTGTTTGGGTCCAGGAGGGGTTTTCTTTGTCTCTGATGGCATGGAGGTGCTCAGCAGCCCTTCGTCTGTCCCTGGTCCTTCCAACTTGATGGTGTGTTTGTGTGTGTGTTGTGGTTTATATCTAGATGGCCCCATGCTCTCACAGGTGGGCCTTTGGGGAAATGCTTCGATCATGAAGGTGTGATACCCATCAGTGGATTAATCCACTGATGAGTTTACAGCTGGGTATGACATTGGGAGGTGAAGCCTGGTGGGAAGAGATGGGTCCCTGGGGCGTGGCCTTGAAGCGCATATCTCTCTCCTCCTCCCTCCATCTCTCTTTGCTTCCTGCCTGCCCTGCCCTGGACTGTTTCCCCTATGCTGTGCTCCCTGAATTTGAGCCCGCTAACTATGGACTGAAACCTCTAAAAAGTGTGAGCCAAAATAAACCTCTTCATTCTTTAATTTGTGGTTTTCAGGTATTTTGTTCTAGCAATGAGAAAGTAAGATAGTGTGGTTTCTTTCAAGATCCTTGATGGGCCCAGCTCCTGGTTGAAAGGGGGTGGTAAGGCAGATCAGCAGAAGCTATGCCCTTTTTGCCTATTGGTAATATGTTTTAAGAATACTAGTTAGAGGCCCAGGATTTAGCTCAGTGGTGCCACTGTCTGCCTCAAAAGCGCAAGGTCCTGAGTTCCATCCCCAGTATAAAAAAAAAGAATACTAGTTAGAGCCTGGTGTGGTAGTGTAGGCCTGTAATCCCCGTACTCTGGGAGAATGAGGCAGGAGGATCACCAGTTCAAGCCTAGCCTGGAAACCTTAGTGACTTAGTGAGATTGTGTCTCAAAAAAGAAGAAGAAAAAAGCAAAAAGCTGAGGATGTAGTTCAGCACAAAGGGCCTGGGTTCAATCCTTAGTACTGAAAAAAATTTAATCTGTGTCTTCTGTTTGGAGTGTTACAGATTTTTATAAGGTCCAAGGGTAATGCCTCTGGACACTTAAGTCCAACTTCTTGGCTGTTTTTTTCTAATGTCCTTTTTATGTCTCAATCTTTATGTTCCATTTTCCACAAGAACTGGGGCTGGCATGGGGTGTGAAACTGATGAGCATCCCATAGTCTTTGGAAGTAAGTGGTTTATTTCTGCTGAAAAATGTGTTCCTTCATCTGATTTAGTCCACAAAGGAAGGCCAAAACGAGGAATAATATCAATTGTTAATCCCTTTCCTGCTGTCTTGGCACCAGTCCCTGTCGCCTGATGGCCTTCATTTCATCCACTAAACACAGGACCAAGCACCAGGCAGTGGGAAGAGACTGAAGCTGGAGACACAGCTATTTTGGGTACCCCAAAGGGCATTGTGAGCCCTGGAGGACATCTTGAGGCAAGTTAGTTTCCTTCAGAAACTGGATGACATTTATAAATAGTGCATTGGGAAATAAGTTGTCAGAAATTTTGTGGATACCAGAGCAGAACCAATTTAGCCGCGCGTATGCGTGTGTGTGTGTGTGTGTGTGTGTGTGTGTGGTACTGGAATGAAACCCGGGGTCTTCTCACTGAGCTACATCCCCAGCCTTTTGTTTTTTTGTTTGTTTGTTTGTTTTTGAGACAAGGTCTCCCTAAGTGTCCCAGGTTAGGCTGGAACTTGAGATCTTCCTGTTTCAGCCTCAGAGAGTACTGAGATTACAGGTGTGCACCACCTCACCTGGCCCCTTTTAGTTCTTTACCCTCCATCTGCTCATTTGCCCTGCCTGATTAGAGGTAAATGCAAGCAAAAAGATCATAAAAAGAGGCCACGGGTAGTCCCTTTGACACAACATATAATCCATCTGGCGGTTGTTTGGCACTTTTTGTATCTCTTTTTCAGATCAAGAACCATTTAACTGATAATAATATCAGTCAGAGATAAAAACAGTTTTGTAAACTGGGTAGAAACACATGCATTTGGGAGACACATTCAGACCGTAGCAGTTAAAAAAGGGAAGCAATTATATGTCCATTGGAAATAGGAGGGCCAGCAAGAGGCTAAGAATCCATGTTTGGGGTGGGGATTTAGCTCAGTGGTTTCACTGCCTACTGTGCAAGCACAAGGACCTGAGTATGATCCCCGGTACCAAAAAAAAAAGAATCTATGTGATTTCCACATTGCGCCAATACCATGGCAGACTCCAAAAGCATTAAGAAAGCCAGTGTAAATAGTGGTGATTTCTTCTTTTTCCAGCATGCCAGCTGTAGTAAATGCAGTGAGATATGCAAATTGGAATGATTTCAGAGTGGACAGAGAATATGCCTCCAAAGTTTCATGTGGGGAAAATAATGGCCCAGCCAGATTATGTGTCCTGCTGGGCATGGTGGCCCACACCTGTAATCCCAGAACTCGGGAGGCTGAGGCAGGAGGATTGGTGTGTGTTTGAGGCCAGCCTGGGCTACACAGTGAGTTCAAGGCTAGCCTGGGTTACATTGTGAGACCCTGTCTCAAAAAACAAAAAACAAAACAAAACAAAAAAACCAAAACAAATACAAAACAAAAACAAAAAACAGATTATGTGTCCTGGCAAGTTCGCCTTTGGGAACTGTTATAGTTCCTGATTTAGAAATAAATGTGGGTTATTCATAGGTGTATCTGAGAGGTCCTAAGAGGTAACACCATGGCTTTGAAACTATGCTTATAGTTGCAAGGCAGTCATGTAGAATGAGGGGGTTCTCTCCCATGAAAGAGGAGCAATGATGAAGGGATGGTTAATGGGGCCGGTTCATAGGTGATCTGTCATCAGGTAGAACAGTTCTGTGTCTTACAGTCTTTAAGAGAGATAACATAGCGTAGAGAAATGTTGAAAACATCCTAACTGGGAAGCCACTAGTCTGCAATGGCTCTGGCACTTTATATTTCTGTATAATAAATTCCTTCCAAGCCCAATGTAAACAGTTACATAAAACTAGAAACTACCAATCAGAAACTGACCCCTAACCAAGGGCTTGCGACTCTAACCAATCAGAATCATTTTCTTTGTTTTGCTTCTGAGAACACTTTATAGAAGTGTGCCCTCTGCACTCACTGTGGAGCACTGCTCCTATTCATGAATCACAGAATGCTCCAACTCTAAAATGTAAAGGTGTTCAAGTGCATCTTTTAACAGATCTGGTGTCAGAGTGAGTCTAAAAGAGGCTCCTCCCCAGCACCATGACATCCAGGCCCCCTGCTGAGCTCTCATACTACCTGCTTCTCTCTGCACATGTAGAAGGCTTCACCAGTAAGTTCCTCTCCAAACAAGCTCCACCACTTAGTGCAGTTCTCTCAGTTGACAGGAGTATTTTTTTTTTTTTAGATATTCATTTAAAGTTATATTTAAGTGCAACCCTCCACGTATCTTCTTTTAGCATCAAACACATCTTGGGTACCCCTGGGTAGAGACCACTGCTCTGTGCAAACACTGACAAGCAGAAGCACCCAGTGAGGTTTAAAAATTCCAGCACCCACACCCAGGTCCAGAGGCTCTGAATCCATGTGGCCGCCTCCTTCCAACCCTCCAGTGCCAATGCCTGAGCGGCCTCAGTGGCTGCCTTGGGCCCTGGGGATGCAAGGCAGACTCTGAGTGGCCAGCTGGGTAGTGATGCCTATTCCCAGAGGGCCCAGCTCCCAAGATGTGCTCCCCCCCAAGGATGGATGGCATCAGTGGTCCCTACAATGACCAGGCTGGCTACGTGCACTACCGTGTGAGCCTGGGAATCTTCTACACCAGTTCTCTATCCACTCAAATGTCACCAAAGGTTTTGGACTGCCTAGCCTGCACCAGTGAGATCTACCTGGCAACTCTGCTGGGATTACAGGGAGAAGGGAGGCAGGGAACTAGCCCACCTGCAGGCCCTGGACTTCAGACAGGCAGCACTGTGGGACTGGCTGTGCCACCAGAAGGGTGCAAATTCCAGAGCCCCAGCAGGTCCCAGGCTGGCGTTGACAGGAGTATTTTTGATCTGCAATGGGTTCAGAAGCCATGGCAAGAGCTGAGCTGGGTCCTGTGAGGGGGCCATAGAGAGTAACTTGCCTGGGCTCAAAAATGGCAGCTAGTAGGCCAGGCTCCAGGACAGAAAATGATTGCTTTATTTAGGTCCAGGGAATCTGAGACTTCATGTCAGAACCTATGCTGTTTTAGAGAAAA